CCACTGCATCACGTAAGTATTTGAGTTCAGTTTTGTTATCACAACCGGTTATAAGGTCGTCACAATAAAAATCATTTTTTATAATATTAGCTACTCGCTTGTCTGAACACTCCGTTGATAACTGAACTAAGCATCTGGTGGTCAGATAAGGGGCCGATGCTGTCCCATACGTTACAGTATTGAGTTGTAATGTTCGCAAAGGCTGAGTTTCATTGTCTCGCCATAATATAAGCTGTAAGTGACGTTGCGCTTCATCCAGCATAACCTGACGGAACATTTTCTCAATGTCCCCCGATAATACATACTTATGCTGGCGAAATCGCAACAAAATTGACATCAAATCGTTTTGTACGACCGGGCCCACGTACTGGATATCATTTAACGATTTACCTGATGCTGTGCGAGCAGAGCCGTTAAAAACGACCCGAAGTTTTGTGGTCTCGCTCTTCTCTCGCAGCACGGCGTGATGAGGTAAATAATTTCCAGTAGATGGCCTATCTATTTCTGTTAAATGACCTAATGTGGCATATTCATGTATAAAATCACTATACATTTCCTTCAACTTCGGCTGCTTTTGAAAACGCCTTTCTAAATTTAAAAAACATCTCTTAGCAAGTGAGTAAGAGTCTCCGAGAGCCTGAGGAGCCTCGCGCAAGGGCATTTTTACCTGGAATCTACCAGACGGTAAGCGAATTGTATTTTCATTAAAGGAATCTTCACAAATTTGTTCATCTATTGACAATGATCGTTTTGGCATTATAAAATTTTCCAAGTCCCAAAATTTAGAAAGTGAGTCTTTAATTTCCTGACTAAAATGACATATAGATTTCACAGATGGCATGGTCAGAGTCATGGGCCCTGCAACCAACCATCCAAACTTCGAATAAATTAACTTAGGTTTATTTTCACCTAATGATATCTGGCAACCACCCTTAACAATATTCCACATCACATCGGACCCAATTAATATATCAACTTTGTTACTTTTATGAAAGTTTGGATCGGCGAGTGCAGTATTGCTGGGTATGTTTAACTCCTCGGGATTGATTTCTACACTAGGTAAGTTTTCTGAAATATTTGATATAATCATACAATGTACGTCCGTAGTGTAGGCATTAATTCTTGACTTTAATTTTAATGTACAATATTCAGTGGCTGTAGATATCGAATTGTTCAGTCCACTTATACATCGTGACTTAGTACTATTAGTTTTAATTTTAAGTTTATTTTTCAGGTGATCAGTGACAAACGAACTTTGACTTCCACAGTCTAAAAGAACGCGCGCCGGGTAAGTACTATTGTCACGCTCATCGACGACTTGAACCACTGCAGTACCCAGGAGGACTTCGCTATTACTCGAGCATGAGGTAAGTGTAGTCAGAACAGCGCTAGTGCTAGCCACAGTATTCAAATTTTGTTTTTCATGGCTAGTGTTTTGTTTTACCTCGTTAGTTTGTAAGTTCAAGTTACTTCCGTTTCGTATTAATTTATTGACACTATTATTATGATTATTATTATTATGACACAATAAACTATTATGCCTTTTATTACAGACTTTGCAGGAGCTGAGACGACAGTTGGAAATGGAATGACCTGGACGAAGACAATTGAAGCAGAGCTTGCGTTTTGAAACTTCTGCTTGCCTGGCTTCGATACTCAAATTCTTAAATTGATCACATTCATACACACGATGATTCTTATTACACATAAAACATGACTTCTTTGGCATAGATGAGAAAAAAGTTTTAATGTGTCTTGGTTCCTTATTACTAACAAACCTTTCACTTCTATTAACCTGAATTGCTCTAGAGCCGCTTTGGACGGTCTCTAAAATATCAGCACGTTGTCTTAAAAACCGGTAAAAGTCTTCTAGTTCTATAGACCCACCAAGGTTCGCTTTGTACTCTTCCCACTTAATGCTAGTTACACTATCTAGCTTTTGCACTATAATATAAATTACAAGACTATCCCACTTATCAGTGTGCTCACCGAGCGTATTTAAAGCCCTCAAATTCTTTGAAACATGATCTATAATGTACCTGAGTGATCTATGCGACTCCCTATTGAAAGATTCGAGGCTGAATAATGATTTGAGGTGGTTATTAATCAATACGTTTTTGTTATTATATCTGTTGCACAGTAGTTCCCAGGCAATCTGATAATTTTCACTGGTAAACTCAATTGATTTTATTGTGACAGCGGCACCACCCTCTAGAGAAGACCTGAGGTAGTGGAACTTGCTGATGTCAGGTATAGTGTCATTCGCATTGATGAGCGAGTCGAAGGTGTCCCGAAATTCAAGCCATTTCAAATAATTTCCATCAAAACTCGGTAATTTTATAGTTGGCAATCGAATTTGATTATTTAAGTGGTTATTATTATTGTTGTTATTACTACAGTTACTTCCATGTGAAAGTCTACGCTGGGCAGCCTTGTCGCGCTCCTCGCGTTTTGACACTATGTCCTGGGCACTAGACATGACCGCGAAGAACTGGCTTTCAATTTCGATTCTCTCTTGTAAGCGTTTATCTAAATTACTTTCTAAATCTAATACTTCTATTTGAGTTTGTACGTTTTCAAAATCTGAGAATAATTCCTTTATTTTTGTTAGTCTCAAATTAATATCAGTTATACTTTTTGTCGTGATGGTATCGGTTTCAATTTGTTCAATAACCAAGAGATAATCTTTGAATATTGTTAATCGCGCTTTAATTGTGCCACGTTTACGAACTAACAAAGCCAGTTCGTCCTGGTAAGACANTACTTCTATTTGAGTTTGTACGTTTTCAAAATCTGAGAATAATTCCTTTATTTTTGTTAGTCTCAAATTAATATCAGTTATACTTTTTGTCGTGATGGTATCGGTTTCAATTTGTTCAATAACCAAGAGATAATCTTTGAATATTGTTAATCGCGCTTTAATTGTGCCACGTTTACGAACTAACAAAGCCAGTTCGTCCCGGTAAGACACTTTACTTTGTGCCATGATTGATTTGCAAATGATAAAAAAATATAAAAATGTGGGCAAGAATGTGCAAGCAAACCAAAATCCGTTGAAGCGAAGCGGGTAGATCCAGCGCTGCGCAGCGGCCGGGGCGCAGGCAGCAACAAGCGGCGCGTAGCAATAAGCGCGCTGCGGCAGCGGTGAACGAGCGCGCCCACTCTGGAATGTTCGGCGGCTCGGCTAAGCGATGTGCAATGGATGCGCGTATTTAAGCGTGTGAAGCGAAAGCAGCTTATGATTAAGAAAAGGCTATTCAAATACAAAGCGAATGAAAATAATAAGTATTTAATAGTTGCGGAACTCGGAATTCAAAGATTTATTTTATTTATTATTTAAAATGAGTAAAAACAATGGGAGAAAATAAGATTTTATTTTTGGGTAATTACGTAGGATTGTCTGCTTTACGTAACGTTAATTACGTTTGCAATCGTAAAACACGATTTGCTATAGGCACTGTAATTCAAAGGAAAATGTTACTATATTATAGTTATGACCCCTAGTTTGGGCCGTTAAATATCTATAACGCACAGTTATTAATTGCAAACGTAGGTAAAGACAAAGAAATAGACTTTAGTGTAAGTACATAACGCACTTTTTAGATTGACTCACGACACTATTTAACACTGATCGAAAAGGGTGCAAGGGAAATGATTAGACAAGGAACGGGCTTACTTCCTTTATGAATGGCCTTCTGGAGCGCTGGCTGTCCGGAAGACTTCGAGAAAGTTGTCCGCTTGTCCTTGTCCGTTGACCGCTTCGTGCGACTTTTGATACCTCGCCCGACGATGTGTAGTGCAGGTCTTCTGGACTTCACCGGCCCTTGGGTGCAGACCGAGGTCCTGTCACGGTCGCCAATTTTTGTCCGGGAGAGCTGGTTGGCTGATGCGGAATGGCCGCAATCAAACGAATCGGACAGTTAAAAAATGTGTATTAATATTTTGTGAATACGTGTCGCACGTCGTGCGGCCGTTGTAGCTCTCTGTGTGGTAGCCTCGCTGTCGGTGTCGCACCACTCACGCCCCGCAGCCCGCGCCCCGCCGCCACTGGTGCAGATCACGAGCCGTGCGCGTGAACACCTATTAGTAATTAACCTAAAACTCTCAGATTGGAAGGAGCCCGGACCCACCCCAAAAATTCCCAATGGTCACCGCGCATCGATGCAATAAGAAACTGTTACGTACTATATACCGCACCGCTATACAGCAACCCAAGATATAAAGCATACTCAGAATGGAGTGCTTGGCAACCAGATTACATGAAGTGTGCAGAAAGTGCGTAGTACGTGAAGTCATCAGGGACGACTAGCACTTAGCAAGTCAACTGGACGGCGCGTATCGGCCTGCAGCAGCAGCAGCAGCAGTACCTGATGCAAGCAGCGCCTTCATGCAACTCGACTTGTATTACTTGACTAGATGAACTAGACGAACCAACGAGACCTGTCCATCTGGTGATCTACATCACACCGTCAGTCTTCCGCCTTCAGTGTTGTGATATGACACCCCGGTGGGCCTTTGTATGTAATAACATATTGTTTTTCTTTTATGGTAACGTTGCTGAATGTAAGTTTGGGAATATTTGGAACGAAGTTCCTTATCGCGCGTTGTGAAAGGGGGCTAGACGGAAAACATTCTTACGAAAAGTTGTCACGACACTTTTTAGATCCGTCATTCTGACCAATCAACGTATAGGCGCTTATCGCGTGACATTGCTCGTATCCGATTGGTCCGCGTAATGAGTACAGTTTCTCGAGATAGCGTTTCAACAATAGTAATTTAGTTCATAGTATTGTTTTTTTCTTCTTCATAATGCCGTAATTTATTATTATAACTTTAAAAAAAAATTACAATTCCTTCACTAATTAATCGAAAGGAACTTCGTTCCATCCGGGTGTCCCTTGACACCTCTGAAGTTTTTTTTTTTCTCAAAGTAGGATACTACTGCCTTAGGACTGAATGCTATGAATAAGCGCTGCAAAATTATATTTTAGAGAAATTCAATTCAAATTACCAAGACAATGTTTGTGGATTACCTACTCCGAGTCAGGAGTTCACACACCAGGCCTCTTCAAACAACACAATTCAGCAGCAAAGTCTGTGTTATGTAGTGGGGGTGCAATGTAGATGTAGGTGCGGTGCCTATACCTCAAATTATTAGCGTTTAAACTACAAGCTATTAGCTCTGGTTACGTTTTGCATGCTATCGACGTCTCGCCACAAGTTTGTGTTGTGAAATTATGCACATAACGGTACTTAAACGTTGTTTAGTTCTAGTACCAAATCATTTACTTTAAAACCAACCGTAAGGTTCTCCGAATTTCGTTTCGAAATTTCATGATATTATTTGAAAACTTGTATTACAGGTATATCTTGGTAAACGTCACCCTCGACTTATTGGTACGTCGATTCGATTTGGTGCTTCACCTTATTCACCATAATTTTGTTTTTTTTTATTGTTTAGATGGAAGGAGGCCCACCTAATGTTAAGGGGTCACTGGAGCCTATAGATATCTACAAAGTAAATGTCGCCACCCACCTCGAGACGTGAGTTCTGAGGTCTCAGTTTTAACAGTACAAAGGCTTTTTTTTCCGGCCCGATGTTCGAACCTGCTATGAGGACCCCACACCAGGGAGCGCGCGGGGTGTGTGGGAGAACAGTTCTCCCTCTCCCGTTCCGCTACCTTCTCCTGCAAGATGGTGGACTTCCAGAGGTCGAGCAGGGCTTGCCAGGACTCGTCGCTGCCGAGCATCGTAGCCATGACGGTCGGAAGCGACAAGTCCGATCCTATATTTGAAACGAGGACGCGGCGCTGCTCCGCGAAAGCGGCGCACTACGTGAGCGTGTGCTCCGCCGTGTCCTCGTTGCAGTACAGCGGCTGCCCCAACCTTCAAACCAAAATGCATTATTGCTTCACGGCAAAAATAGGAAGAGCGGTGGTGCCCGTGACTACCCGTCCGGTACCACCAGTAACATAAATAAAAAAGCAACGTTAGTCGGTGTGTCGCCCATGTCCGTGCACGTATCTCCGTTTGTTCTCGTCCGCCGCCCGCCGGGTAAGGCGCCCGGACTAATTTTATGATTCAGTCTAATCTCTCCAGTCTACACCACAGTGGTTTGATCTATTTCAACAAGAATGTGTGACTAGTTAATTCTTTAAATTATTCACGTGTCGGTATCGATTTGAATGTACCCCTCGACATCGCTGGAGTCTATAAACAACGGTGACTGCTCACCATCAAATGAGTCTAACACTCAGCTGTTTAATAAGGAATTACTGTAAAATAGCTATCATAATAAGATATAACGGGTAGGCCCGGAGCCGGCGGCCGCGCCCACAACGCGCGCTGCTCATTCAATACGTACTTTTGTATTTTTAATGTGCATTGTTCTGAATGCGCGCTGTTGCTTGTTTCAATATTACGTTTCCATGGGAACCGACGGTCGGCTGTATCGGCCATTGTGTGCATCTGTTACTGCGTCACAGGGACCTACTCAGGAGACGAGATACATATTTTGTCCTGTTCAACTTTTATATCACGCTCTATGACGCCTCTTAGACGAGAGTTCTCGGGATTGCTATCGGACACATGCTACTGCATTTACAATTTCCTTTTTCTCCGCCAAACTGCGGCCTGAAGATCACTCTAACTTCATAGAGACTTTGATTCCTAATATGGTTTTGGTGGGCGAGACATTTCCCTTGTAATGTTAATACAAATTTATTACGTAGTATGGAAAAAATATTGGGCCTACAAAGAAATTATGAATAGGGTATAAAGATCAAGAAAAAGGCATTTGATATCTGTATCCTACCCTGCATTACTTATAGTTGTGAAACCTAGGCTTCGACGAAACAGCACAGCGACAAACTAGCAGGATGTTAGAAGAGTATAGAAGGGAGCACGCTAGCCTTGATCTAATGGACAGTTACAAGTGTACACATCACGCGAAAAACGAAATTTACACACATCCTGTCACGTATTGATCAATTCCAAGGGAGATGGACAGGACATATGCTCCGCTTCAAAAGGAAGAAAACAAGTGACAGTTTGGTATCCGAGGAATGGTTCAAGGATCTGAGGTCGTCAACCAAAAAGATGGGAGGATGAACTGAAAATTACCTCTGGACCCCTTTGAATAAGAGTAGCAGTAAACAGAAAGCACTGGATAAAGTTGGAGGAGGGAGGCCTTTGCCGAAAGCCATATCGTCGAAGTCGTCTCGGCCTAACGGATAAGACGTCCGGTGCATTCGTGTTGAGCGATGCACCGGTGTTCGAATCTCAGGCGGGTACCAATTATTTCTAATGAAATACGTACTCAAAAAATGTTCACGATTGACTTCCACGGTGAAGGAATAACATCGTGTAATAAAAATGAAACCCGCAAAATTATAATTTGCGTAATTACTGGTGGTAGGACCTCTTGTGAGTCCGCGCGAGTGGGTACCACCGCCTTGCCTATTTCTGCCGTGAAGCAGTAATGCGTTTCGGTTTGAAGGGTGGGGCAGCCGTTGTAACTATACTGAGACCTTAGAACTTATATCTCAAGGTGCTTTGTCAATCAATTGTACTTTTATATTTTATTTTTATATATCTAACAAATTTATTGTTTTTTTTTAATCTACTTGAAATATTTAGTTAAAAATGTAAAATATTCGGGAAATAAAGACATTATTATTGTTAAGATTAGTAACGATTTCGATAGATATAGGAGAATAAGCATCATCAATTTTTTATCACGTAGCTTAACTCTCTATATTAGAAGATGCGGCCAGTTACAGCAGCAGAATTACTTGGACGTTAATGACAGCAGCGAAACCTTCAGCACGCACATATTTACCCGCAAATTACCCAATATAACCTGAATACACGCCTGGAATTAAATTCCAAATAATCTACGGCGTAATAAAAGTTTTATGTGTGCGAATAACTAACCAATGGACGCGGTGTCCTGGTGTTATGGTGTTACTCCGGGGACGGGGTTGA